TGCATCAAGATATGAGATTACTGATACTATACAGTTACTGGTTGATGGATCTCATGATGGTACTATACTACCAACATAAATATATGTACATACATGCATCATAGTACCACTTACACATACAACGTACACATACATGTATGCTGTATAACTGTGTACATGTACTCTTTCTACTCTGCTGTGTCCGGACATGTACATGTTTAGTATCATTGGGATTTGTCATTGATTTGTTTGTACATGTTCAATAAGACCATCTACTAACAATTAATGTACATATACATGTACATGTATGCTGTATGTACTGGACTCACTTTGTTAGGTTGATTTTCATTATTTTGTATAATGTGTGTGTCCTGTACTAGCTGTTGTACATTTGGGTTTAAATTGTTATGATATGATTATTGTGTTTTATTTTAGTGTGACTGGTTGACTGGTTGAGTTTATTTTGAGGACTGGATTTTTGGTTGCATAAACAGTTGTATATAACAGTTAGATAATGTACATGTACTGCAAATGTTATTGAACTGTATTGAGTTCATAAGAGTTCATATCTTCAAACCCACATTAGACAGGCTTGCAGTTTATACAGGTTTAATTCCCTATCCACCCTTTTTTTTACCTCTTCTCACTCTGTTTTGAGAGAATAGAGAAAGAGGGATGAATTGAGGAAGCCTGTATAAACTAGATCAAGATCTCTTTGTATACACATTGGTGTACCTACATGTATTTGTACATGTACTTCCAAGACCCTCTGTACTCAATATATGTAGTATTGAGTATTTTTGCCATGCAGTTTGAATAAAATTTAGTAGTATTTAGTATTTGAATAAATAAGTATTGAATAAGTATCTGTCCATTGTACAGTACATCTATAAATGTATACACGTACTAGGTATATACATTGCATTACTAGGTAGCAAGAGAGTACATGTACATAGAGAGGAAGGACAAGCAGTATAAATCAGACAGAGGCTGTGCATTAGTACAATATTATAAAGAAAGAAGAGGAGGAGGTGAACTATCAGAAGCAGTACTAGAAGAACTCATTAGTCATTATGCTGCTGAGAGAAAGAAACGAACTGGACTATTTGTACAATCATTGATCAAGAAAAGAAATAACTATCTGGAAACTTTAACTGAACAATAATTGTCATTATGATTATACTGCAAATGATTATCAGGTTTATAATGTGAGAGTGAACATGGTCAAGTTATGAGAGATGAGATGATGAAGACTCCATTTGATATTGATTTGAGTGTTTTTGTTGCTATGAGTGACTCCATGCATGCTGTAATAGATTATGTTGCACTCCAAAATAATGTTATATACAAATGACAAAATGTTACACAGTTAATATTAATTACACAGACCTAGTAGATACTATTGCTTAAGGACATACAACACAATATAATTCATTGTTATGGTTGGTATCTTGTACAGCTACAGTCCAGTATTCTTCTTGTAATGATGAAGAGACACTTGCTGTCATCATAATTGCTGCAGGAGTGGAAGATAAGTTGCTAGCAATTACAAGTACTGAATCCTTTGCATCTGATACTGCTTGAGTTGGAGTCTCCATTGTGCACTATTAGGCTCTAGCAACACTGACTGCAGTGCAACTGATAAAATTCACAGCTAGGCTATAGGCGTGTCTAGTTAACTGGGCAGGGCT